TTGTGACCATTCTGCCTCAGTCTTCTGAGGAGCCAGAATTGCAGGTGTGTGCCATCATTACAGGCTTATTTGTTTTTGTTTGTTTTTTGTTGTTTGTGCAACTGGGAATTGAATTTAGGTCCTTCACACTGAGTTACCTCCCCAGTCCCACCCCCCTTTTTGAGAGACATACTTGTTAAATCACTAAGTTGCCCGGGCTGGGCTTGAACTTATGATCCTCCTGCCTCAGCCTCCCAGACTGCTGGGTTTAGAGCACTACAATACCTAGCTTGTCATAGTTTTAATAAAGGCTTTTTATAGAAAAAAATCATATGGGAGAAGTTAAATAATAAGTACTTATGCATACACTGTAGTCCCTTCTTATCTGGAGGATATATTCCAAGATATCCAGTGGATATCTGAAACTGGATGGCACTGAACACCTTATGTACCCAGTAATAGCCTTCTTGTCCCTGGGACACAATACCAGAAATTTGCAAATTAGAGGAGGAGAGGTTTTATTGGCTTCTAGTTTCAGAGGGTTTGGTCGATGGTAGGCTGGCTCTAAGGCAGAAAAGGCAGGGTGGAGGAAAGCTGCTCAACCTATGGCAGCCAGGAAGTACAGGGAGAAAAGGAAGGCACCAGGGACAAGAATGCACCCTTCCAGATCATACCTTCAGTGACCCACTTCCTCCAACCAAGCCCTATTTCCTAACAGCACATTCAGATATGAACTCACTGGTGTGTCAATTCATCAATCAGTACAGTTCAGATAGGACTCATGTAAGTGACAGCATGGAGTGACTGGCAAGTTGAAGAGGGGATACTGAACCTAAAAGATGTGCAAACAGACAGAGGAACCAAAGTATGACTATGTTCTGCAGATGTGTTGCAGACTGTGTCTTCTCCCATGTATCCCATAGAACTGGCACTGACTGAGACAGGCTGCAGTGGCTGTAGAGCCCTTAAACTGTGAGGTGGCTGCAGGAGCTCCTCTCCATTAATGGCAATGCATCTCAATTCCTTCCAACTGTCCTTGTTGAGCTTGTCCCTTGGGAATTCATGAAGTATTATAATAATGGAAACACCCACTTTCCTTTTACCTAAACTCTAAGCTGTGTGGAACAGTTTAGTTTGTGAGGTGAAAGTGATGGGAATCTTGCAAGAGAGCATATGTATAGTTTAGTTTATGTCAGCAAATGCTGTGTTGCATTCCAGGCATCATGCTTGATATTGGGTATTCAAAAACCATTGAGGAACTGGGCGTGGTGGCACATGCCTGTAATCCCAGCACTCTGGAGGCTGAGGCAGGAGGATCGTTGTAAGTTCGAGACCAGCCTGGGTTACAAAGTGAGCTCAACGCCAGCCTGAACTGCATAGTCAGCCCCTGTCTCAAAAAGACCAAAAAACAAAACAAAAAAAAAACAAAAACCAAAAAAAAAACCCCAAAAACCAAAAAACAAACCAACAAAACCGACAAGGCAATTCATGCCAATCAGGAACAACTCTCTTCCTTTCTGTTGGAGTGGAGAGTTTTTGTCCCTATATGGACCCTTGAGTAACGTCTTGATGCCCACATGGGGTGGGAGATAAAACCACAATATAAATGAGATTATAATTAACTATAATTGAGTTGAGATTATTCCCAGTTGTTTAGCATAGTCTAAAGCACATGTGTCCCCAGGCATAGCTTAGAAGTGGGTGCTCTTTGTGGTTTCCAAGGATCTTACCTTGGGCCACCCCAGAAGCCCACCGTGCATGTGCCTTCTGGTCTTTCCTTGTTTGTCTCGCTGTTAGAACTGGGCACTCTGTGGTTTTTGGAGAGTGACCTTCCCCTTTTCCCCTCTGCCTTCAAGCCCTTCCTCCTAGGAATTTCTCCTGTCTCCCTCCGGAGTGCTAGGATTACAGGTGTGTGTGCCACCCCACCCAGCTACTATTGGATTTTGAAGTGCAATGCATGAGTACAAGGAATGGAATTTATAAGGAAGAAGTCACTCATAAAGGACCTTCTTTATCATGCTAAGTAACTTGGAGTTTGCCTGGAAGGAATCAGTAAAAAGTCACAAGCAGAAGAGTGACTTGCTTAGAGTATGTTTTAGAAAACACACACTGCTTGAAATCAGTGTAAAACTGAGATGGTCCCTGGGACAAATACAGCAACATTGGAGGCACTGGAGACCAGGTAAAAGGTGTACTAACAGTGTAGGTAGGAAGTGGTAAAGGCCAAAGAAAGATTTGAGTGGAATGGGAGAACATTTCAGCATGTCTGCAGGCTAAAAGAAGAAACCAGTAATAAAGAAAAAATGTGGGAAACAGGGTAATTAGTTGGAGCAAAGAGACACTAGGACTGAAGTAAAATAACTAATATTGGCCTGCCTCATCTTCTGAAACCAGCAGGAGAGAGTAAAGAGAAGAGATGGAATTTGCTTATTAACTCTAATGGCATACTAGAATTCATAGCAGGTGGATGGGTAGGACAGATACCTTAGATTTTAGGAAAGTAGTTTTTTTTTTTTTTTGGTAGTGCTGGGGATGAGGAAAGCAGATTTGAATAAATTTAGAGTAAAGAAATCCCATGGCTTTGACTTTTATAAATCGAGAGGCAGGCAAAAATAAAAGCCAGGCTGGTTGTGATGGTACACACCTATAATCCCAATACTTCGGGAGGCAAAAGCAGGAGGGTTCAAGTTCAAACCTAGCATGGGCAATTTAGTGACTTAGATCATTAGAGTAAGTAGTAAAAAAAATGCTGGGGTACAGTTTAGTGTAAGGACCCTGGGTTCATACCCCAGCACCAAGGGTCAGAAAAAAGCCAGACTTTACAACTGCAAACTTTTATAATGAGAAGAAAAGAGATATATTATTGACAAAGACTTCTCTGGAATCTCTTAATTTTATTTATTTTTATGTTTTGATTGAT